TTTGTTTAATTAAAAATAATTTTTAAAATTTAACAATAAATATTTAGTTTTGCTAAACTGAAGAAGTGACTCTGTTGTACTTTTAAGTTATGTCAGCTTACCATGGGAGACATGATTGAAAGCAATGAGTACCAATTACTAAATTTTTTTTAATTCATTTATTAAACATGTTAGTTTTATTGTAGCTGAAGGGTACATGTCAAAGGTAAGTGCCTCTGTTCACATAAAAATATTCACACTATTAAAAATTTGTTTTGTGTGTTTCTGTTTGCTAGCTGTACGTATGGGCCATGACTGGCCATGACCTCAGCAGGACCCGGCCTTCCCCTGTGCCAATGCCGGCATCACCTTCAGAAGAGGGAACATCGTGGAGATTGTGAACCAGACGGATGCCCTCTGATGGCAGGCAAAGAAACTGCCCATACGGCATGTGCCAGCCTCATCCCCTCTATCAACCTACTCATGCTCGTCCAATCTCGTACTGCATATAATAGGTGAGCCACAGGTTTTGGACCTCTATTATGAAAGTGAATCCCACACAACCAGTGAAGACAGTTTAAGGGGAAGAGTATAGACTATAACTACTCTAACTCTGCTTTGGTTTATGGAACTGTTTCTCAAACACAGTATTTTGCAGTATACAGACTTCCGAGGATGATGTCATTGCTCAGTTTTTGGGCTTTTTCTCTGAGATGTTCTGACTTTGACACTTGAGATCTTCTGGTTTGGGAACTCTGACTTCTTTTGCTTGTTTTTCTAGAATTGAATCCTTTAGCATCTCCTCTTAAGCCTGACAATATTGCTTGTATGTAAAACAGATCCGCAGCAGTGACAGTTAATTTCCATCTATTTTGTATTATTTGAACTATTTTATAGGTTTTATTGTGTTATTACCACTGTATAAAGCAGGAATGGGCAATTAAGTTTCCCTAGGGGCCACATGAGAAACTGGAACTGTTGTGGAGGGCACATACAGTGGGGCAAAAAAGTATTTAGTCAGCCACCGATTGTGCAAGTTCCCCCACTTAAAATGATGACAGAGGTCAGTAATTTGCACCAGAGGTACACTTCAACTGTGAGAGACAGAATGTGAAAAAAAAATCCATGAATCCACATGGTAGGATTTGTAAAGAATTTATTCGTAAATCAGGGTGGAAAATAAGTATTTGGTCAATAACAAAAATACAACTCAATACTTTGTAACATAACCTTTGTTGGCAATAACAGAGGTCAAACGTTTACTATAGGTCTTTACCAGGTTTGCACACACAGTAGCTGGTATTTTGGCCCATTCCTCCATGCAGATCTTCTCGAGAGCAGTGATGTTTTGGGGCTATCGCCGAGCAACACGGACTTTCAACTCCCGCCACAGATTTTCTATGGGGTTGAGGTCTGGAGACTGGCTAGGCCACTCCAGGACTTTCAAATGCTTCTTACGGAGCCACTCCTTTGTTGCCCGGGCGGTGTGTTTTGGATCATTGTCATGTTGGAAGACCCAGCCTCGTTTCATCTTCAAAGTTCTCACTGATGGAAGGAGGTTTTGGCTCAAAATCTCACGATACATGGCCCCATTCATTCTGTCCTTAACACGGATCAGTCGTCCTGTCCCCTTGGCAGAAAAACAGCCCCATAGCATGATGTTTCCACCCCCATGCTTCACAGTAGGTATGGTGTTCTTGGGATGCAACTCAGTATTCTTCTTCCTCCAAACACGACGAGTTGAGTTTATACCAAAAAGTTCTACTTTGGTTTCATCTGACCACATGACATTCTCCCAATCCTCTGCTGTATCATCCATGTGCTCTCTGGCAAACTTCAGATGGGCCTGGACATGCACTGGCTTCAGCAGCAGAACACGTCTGGCACTGCGGGATTTGATTCCCTGCCGTTGTAGTGTGTTACTGATGGTGACCTTTGTTACTTTGGTCCCAGCTCTCTGCAGGTCATTCACCAGGTCCCCCCGTGTGGTTCTGGGATCTTTGCTCACCGTTCTCATGATCATTTTGACCCCACGGGATGAGATCTTGCGTGGAGCCCCAGATCGAGGGAGATTATCAGTGGTCTTGTATGTCTTCCATTTTCTGATGATTGCTCCCACAGTTGATTTTTTCACACCAAGCTGCTTGCCTATTGTAGATTCACTCTTCCCAGTCTGGTGCAGGTCTACAATACTTTTCCTGGTGTCCTTCGAAAGCTCTTTGGTCTTGGCCATGGCAGAGTTTGGAGTCTGACTGTTTGAGGCTGTGGACAGGTGTCTTTTATACAGATGATGAGTTCAAACAGGTGCCATTCATACAGGTAACGAGTGGAGGACAGAAAAGCTTCTTACAGAAGACGTTACAGGTCTGTGAGAGCCAGAGACTTTCCTTGTTTGAGGTGACCAAATACTTATTTTCCACCCTGATTTACGAATAAATTCTTTACAAATCCTACCATGTGGATTCATGGATTTTTTTTTCACATTCTGTCTCTCACAGTTGAAGTGTACCTCTGGTGCAAATTACTGACCTCTGTCATCATTTTAGGTGGGGGAACTTGCACAATCGGTGGCTGACTAAATACTTTTTTGCCCCACTGTAGATTCAGAATTAAGAGTCACCTTTATTGTCATTGCAGAGTATTGTAAAAACTACAGCAAAATGAAATTTTCTTGTGTGATCAGTACCAGCATTCACACACAAACCTATTTACACAAAAGCTTAAATACTTACATTAAATTAAGTTGATCTTGCCAAGAAGGATAGGTGGAGTCTGTTGAGTTCTGTGATGGTCCTGAGAAAAAACTGTTGAGCAACCTGGTGGTATGGACTTTGAGGACTTTCTAACGCCTGCTGAATGGAAGTACGAAGAAAAGGTTGTACGACGGGTGTGTTTTGTCCTGCAGAATATTGTTTGTTCGTAAGGGGCAGCAGGTCCTAAAAAGATCATCTAGGGAGGTCAGAGGCAGTCCAATAATTTTTTTAATCTTTTCTTATTGCTTGTTTGAGGGATTTCTTGATCAATAAGCCTATAAAAAGATATAATGAATATTTCTCATGTGGCCCCTTCAGAAAATTAATTGCCCACCTCTGGTATAAAGTGTTTTGCACTTAGTTACTGCAACATTTTTATGTTACGGTTAGAATTTTGTGTAATTAACATCAAATTTCTGTTAGGTTGTTGGTGTTGTAATGGCGTGGGGTGTATTTTATTGACCCCTTAGTAGCAACTGAGTCTCATTTAAACAACACAGCCTACCCGAGTGTTGTTGCTGACCATGTCCATCCCTTCATGACCACAGTGTACCATCTTCTGATAGCTGCTTCCAGTAGGATCCCACACCATGTCAAAAAACTAAGATCATTTCACACTGGTTTCTTGAACATGACAATGAGTTCACTCTACTCAAACAGCCCCCACAGTCATCAGATCTCAATCCAATAGAGCACCTTTGGGATGTGGTGGAACAGGAGATTCTCATCATGTATGTGCAGCTGACAAATCTCTGAGGAATGTTTCCAACACCTTGTTGAAGCTTTGCAAAGAACTGATATTGCTCTTTAGGTAAAAAAAAAAAAGGGTCTGACTGGTATTAGCAAAGGGTACCTAATAAAATGACTGTATTGATATAGTTCGGTGTATTGTGGTGACCTTTCCTGAAGTAGGATGACACTCGGAAAGTTCATCCTCCACCAAGGTCAATGCCCAACTTTGCAATTTTAAATAAAGTCGTCTTGAACTGTGCCAGAAATGTTTTTTCTCATTGTACTATACAATGAGCGGGTGGAGGGAGGTTTGGAGTCTTGGTGGTTCTTTGTGTCCGGGGATGGGCGTCCAGGTACACACTGGCTCACTCCTTGGCGGCCGCTTGTCGGGGCCTGGAGCCTGGGGCTCGCTCGGGCCACTTCGGAGGTGGGGTGCCCCCGGCCTCTCGGCCTGGGGCTCGGTCACTCAGGCGCAGCTGGCTGCCGGCGTAGCTCACGGGCGCGTCACTGCAACTCCCCCCGGCTTCTGCTCCGCGGCTGCTGAGTGAGCCCTCATCTGGGACTCTCCTCAGCTCTTACTGGAACAGTGGCGCAGCTGCCCCTCTGTTGGTCTTCCCCCACACCCTCTAGCAGATCATTACATGAAGGAACCTTTTAAAAAACAAAAAACAAGCGCGTCCATGCTCACAGGTGTACACACGGGTGATCACACCCACAAACTACACCCTTTTTGGCTCCTACCTCAAAGCACACTGTGTTCTGTTGATCTTATGTGCTGCACAATAATGTTTAACATTTAGTATTTACTGTCATATTCCCATATGTCATTGTGATGTTGTTTATTCTATTACTCTTGTTCTCTTCTGCTTGCTCTCAGCAGGTGATCCAGGTGATTGATATATGCATTTTTTTTCTCTGCCCGTTCTGTTGGTTTTTGTCTTTTGCCCTTCTCCCCCGTCCCTCTTCTCAGCTGTTTCTCTTTCCCTCTTTCTTTCTCCCCTTCTTTCCCCCAGTCAAGTCTGTCCCGTATTCAGTAAGTGAAAATAAAATAAACAATAAAAGGTGAATCAAATGGACCATTACGGCAAGGCTGGGATGGTCAGTTTGGTAAAGTAAATCCGTTGGGCATCTTTCTTCGCCTTTAGACAACAATTCTGATGGCAAAAGAGCCAAACGGGACAGGCCAAAAAAAAAAAGAAAAAAAAAGAAATGTTTTTTCTCCTCTCTTACCCTTCTCCACTGGGTTTCAACAAAGTACTTTATCTCATTATCTCTTTCATAGAGATACTAACCTCAAGTGAAGAATGTGTGTGAGCTTTGAGATCCTAATATAGATTTATAAACTGAAAGTCAAAGTGTTGTTTATTGTTTGCGTCTTTCATGGTTCTTTGCCAATCAGGGTGCGGCAAAGCCACATATCAGCTTTATACACACACTCTGACCCATAAAAGCATGTCACACCCAGCATGTGTGCCATGACCAACAACCACTTGAGCTCCTATTTTGAGTAAATGTTTTCTGGCGTGAATAAAAAAGCCAAGCCTTTTTCTAAAGTTGTTTTTCCCCCACTAACTGGAAGGTCATTATTTATTGACATCACATATTTCTCATGTTAATAACTACAATCCATACTGCTTTATAAAAGTATAGCAATTATTCACTTCAGCTGACAAATATTAGACTGATGTTTCCAGTCGGATGCCTTACTTACTTAAACAAAAAAAAAAGATATTGAAGTAGAAAATGTTTCTTTGATTTGCTGAGAAAATTCTTCACATTAATAAACGGGACGCCCAACATCATACCAACCTATCTAAATCACCAGCTATTGTACACAAAAACTGTACCCAGCAGTTAAAACTTAGAAAAACACACTTTAAAGAATTTGTAACTTCTCGAGCCAATTTCTCCTGAAACTGCTGCACATCAAAGATCCAATAGATGCAATAAAATGTCAAAATGGTTTTAGTAGAAGTTCTCTGAGTGTAAAAGTCTCATTCTGCGGCATCCTGACTTAGACGTTATTGTTTTTGTGGCTTTGTTGGGGGGGTCAGTCATCTTTGTCTCTCTGTCGGAGGCTCCTCGATTTGCCATTTTGTGTCTTGTTCCTTCGGAACGATGCCGGACCGCCTTCTTCTCCGAGGGAAGTGATGATGCGTTCTTTGAACTTCGGCTTGGGCTCCGGGGGCAGCTCTGCTGGAGCGCTGGCAGTGCTTCCCTCCACTTCAGGCAGCTGCAAATCCACATTTTCACTGAAATGAGAATAAAAGAGACAAAGAAAAAGCTCTTTAGTAGCTGCCGGCACACATGTAGGATCTCGCTGTGTAACGACTCAAAGATGTTGCACTTACTACGGATCCTCTTCTTGCAGGATCTGCTCCCAGACTCCGTATGGATTGGCAGCTTTTGGCCTCTTGGCTTTCGTTTCCCTTTGTGTCGCCTGTTCTTCTGTTTTCTCCGGTTCAGCTGTTGTGTTTTGGACCTCCTCAACTTTTGTCGCCTCTTTATTGTCATCTTTAGGAGTGTCGTCACTCACTTTATCTTCATCCTCTTTTTCTGATGGCTCCGTCTCTGCTTTCCTTTTCTGCAAACAAAAATCAGGAAACCTGAACTGTAACAAGAAGAAGGTGAAGTTCGTCTATACAGACTCTCGCCTTCTCTTTGAACAACTCACCCTGAAGCTGATCTTTGGCACTTTGGGCTGCTGGCTGGTTTTCTCAGGGGCTTCAGCCTCTTGAGATGATGGGGCCCCGTTGGAACTCTCCTCCTCTCCTGATAGAGGCTCTGGCTGAGGGGTCACGGGATCCTCTGGACCCTCTCCTTCTTGGTTGGATTCAGAGCTGGATCCAGGCACCTCATCAGGGGGGAAGTCAGCAGGCTTCTCCCAGCTGGACTCTGAAGGGTGAGGGAAAAAATGGATGTAATCCCACAGATGACATGAAATAGAAGAAGCCATTCATTTAGAAAGAGAAACACTCCACCTCCGGTTTCTGTGTTGTAGTAGTATGTGTAACCATCAGGACTGACAGCTTCCATCCAAGCAGAGCCTGAAGTACTCTAGGAGAAACAATA